AACATAGACAAACATCCTTTTTCATCCAAATTAATACTGTGTTTAATTTCCTTATAAAAAAAATTAAAAAAAATTTGTGATTATGCTCCGCAAATATGTAAATGTAAATCTAAGTGCATTTTTTTCTTGAATTGAGGAGGTAAGTTGATGATTTACATTTAAAATAAGAAAAAAAGAACAATTCCATTTACTTATTTCAAATGGATATTATCTAATTATCTTATCTGAAGAATAAAAAAATCTTATTCCATCCCAGGAATAAAACCATCATCTGTGGAAATCCTCCAAGTTTTTCTCAAGTTTAGCTTTTTGCAGCAGATTAAACCATTTTTACAGTAAATTGATTGACAGCCTCTCCCTGCTCTGTTATAATGAAAGTGTTTGTTCCTTGGGCACATTTTTCCTTAAAGCCAATGCCTTCCTGGGCTCATTGAGGACGCTTTCTGGTCATCATCCACTTCTCCATCATTTGCATACACCCTGAGCCCCACCATAGAAATGCTTTTGTGTGCCGTCTGCCCTTTCACCCCAATAAAAGGGGATAATGAGGAGCAGACACTCCCAGCCTTTAAGGAGGAGCCTGCTGGAAGTATCAGGCCTGTTAATCTGTTAGCCCCACAGATCATCCCATAATAAAGCTAGCAATGCAGCACTTTATTAACATGGACTCTGTGTCATGGGGGGGGGGACATGTCTCAATTAGCAGCTAAGCTTTAGTGTCTACAGAAAGCCTCATTTCAGCAGGATTTCAGGAAAATTCAGACTTTCCCACATTGAGGTTCATTTTTCACAAATTCTGTGAATCAAAGTTTAAAGCTTTTAATAACAACAATGTTTCGGAAGCAGCCTTATGCAACAACAAGGTTAAAAGCCCTTTTTTAGTTTTTTTTTCCTCTACCACCTCTATAAGCTGATGTCATCGGTGTGATTATTAGCATAAAGCTAACCTTGATTCACAGAGGCTGGCTGCAAAGCCAAGCCTAACAATTCATTAATGAGCCAAAAGCTGAGGACAAACTGAGAGATCGTAAGATAAATACACATTAAATAAAACAACCCATCCATCGATTTTCTTCCACTTTATCCGTTGCCGGGATGAGGAGGCAGCAGGCTAAGCAGAGATGCCCAGACTTCCCGATCCACACACACCTCCTCCAGCTGCTCTGGGAGGACCCTGAGGAAACACCAGGACAGCTCAGAGACAGTCCCTCCAGCGTGTCCTGGGCCTTCTAAAAAGCCTCCTCCCAATGGGACATGCCTGGAACACCTCCTGAGGGAGGCGACCAGGAGGCATCCGGAACAGATGCCCGAGCCACCTTGACTGGCTCCTCTCTTTGTGGAGGAGCAACGACTCTACTCCGAGTTCCTCCCGGGTAACTGAGCTCCTCACCCGACCCCGAAGGGTTCAGCCAGCCACCCTGAGAAGGAAACTTATTTCGGCCACTTGTATTAGGGATCTTGTCTTTCTGTCATTACCCAGATCTCATGACCATAGGTGAGGGTGGGAACGTAGATTGATCGGTAAATCAAGGGCTTTGCCCAATGACTCGATACAGCAACCGCATCACTGACGATGCTGCACCAATCCGTTATCGATCTTACCCTCCATCTGTCCCTCACTCGTGAACAACACCCTGAAATACTTGAACTCCTCCACTTAAGACAAGGTTTCTCTACCCACCTAAAGAGGGAAGTCCACCTTTCTCCGGTGGAGAACCATGGCCTCAGCTTTGGAGGTGCTGATCCTCATCGCGGCCGCTTCATACTTGGCTGCAATCCGCCCCAGTGCACGCCGAAGATCCTGGTTTGATGAGGTCAACAAGACATCATCATGTGCAAACAGCAGAGATGATATCCTGAGGTTCCCAAACCTGGCAACGCCTTGAAATTCTCACCATAAATGTAATGAACAGAACCAGTGACAAAGGGCAGCCCTTGTGGAGACTAGGGATGGAACAGTTTATGAAAACTGTCCGAACTGTTCGGTTCGACTGTCTCGGTTCGATTCGCGTGTGTTTCGTTCAGTTCATGCGCTGCTCCTTTTTCTCATAGGCGAAGCGTTTACACTCCAGAGCAGAAGGTGGCGGTACTGCGACCAAAGCCAACCACCAGTAGTAAACAAGAAGAAGAAGAAGCAAAGCAGCGTAGCCGGGTGAAAAAAATCAGTTGTTGTGGAGAATTGTGTGGGTATGG